TTCTGGATGCTCAATAAACTTTGGTTGATTCAGCTATCCGTGAGTGGACATTCCTTTCATCTTCAACCTCGGGAACCCTAAATGCTACACACTTATTTACCAATGTGGCAGCATTACTCTCATTACTACTGAGCAGAATTTAGAGACCTAAATGTCTCAATGCTTTTGATTTATTTAACAAAGTATTGATGCACAAGTCTAGATTCCTTTTGAAATGTAGTGATGCAAAATAACTGAAACCTCTATCTTCATTTAACAACTAATATATTCTGAATTCTAACACCTGGTACAGAAAGCCCTGCTATGGACAGTCTTGTCAGTCCAACATAAATCTTTCCAATAAAACATAAGAGACTTAATATCTTAAACAATTATGTTCAAAGCTCTTTAAAAATAGGGACCAGCAAACATTAGAGATCACTGTGACTGGGGATTTCCATTGGTTCATTTTGATTGGGGGGGGGGGAATCAGAGCAGAAGACCACCTTAGGATTTTCTTTCTTTTTTTCAATAAATACACAACAATTACTTTCATTTTCCAGCCACATTCCTCAACAAGACTGTTTTCACTATGCAAGCAAAGATCATCAATGTTCCTTTGTCAATCCAGCTGGCAGCTGTTCTTTTCCTCTCTCAGGTTGATAAAGCCATTTTTCTTTCATCATCTTCAATCTTGTTAGTGACCATCTGTGAAAGACATTCCCTCCTCCTCCTCCTCAACTTTGGCAAGTCTAACATGGATTTCCCCTCCTTTGCTTTAAGAGGATTTAAACTCTCCTGAAACCAGCACATCAGAACCAAAAAACCTTTAGCCTTTAACCTTTCCTAAAAAAGCCAATTTTCAGCAGCCAGAGCTGCCTTCCATCATCTAAGGTGCCGGTCATTACACATATCCATTAAATTCTCTCCAAGATCTCCTTCCAAGAGCATCCAATGAGTTTCAATCTTTCACTTCTAATGTCAGCAGAATAATTTTCTTTGGAAATCTTTTCTATAAGATATTAAATCATCCCTATTCTTATCTAATAGCTGGAAGAAGCACTTGGTTGATTTCTATGTAGATATGTAAATAGCCAGCAGGAAACCAGGGCCGAATGCCAACTATTATAATAACCATGTACGAAAGACAAGTGGAGCAACTTTTATTCACTGGAGAGCCACTGAGGTGCTACCTCAGCATATGTCTACCGAAATTCTCAGTCATGCACATCATGATTGCCCCAAAGGGTGTTTTTTTCTTGAAGATGTTTCGCTTCTCACCCAAGTAGCTTCTTCAGGTCTGACTGAATGGTTGAGATTGGAAGGATTTATATTCTTTGCAATTGTATGTTATGATATGATCCTTCCATTCCCCACTATTCAATCAGAACTGAAAAAGCTTGAGATGTGAATGCAAGGGGTTTTGAGGAAAAAATCGGTTTTGTAAAGATGCCCTACCCAATAATACTGACTGCTTCGTGGAGCTCAGAGTCAGTGAGCATGAAAAAGGTTATTGGTTCCCAGAGGTCATCGCTGGCTATGATCTGCACTCGCTGAAGGTCTTGCTTATCCAAAGCGTACCTTAAAATCTTTTAAAATAAAGAGACAAGAAAAGTAGCATTTTACTCATTTTTATTCATTTATTTATGTATTAAATTTGTATGCCAGCCATCTTTCTGCTCATCACTTGTAAGAAATAAATATTTAAAAAGCCAAAATGCGCAATTTATTTTACTGATGTCTAGCTACAAAACAGGCATCTCTCTCTATGACAAATGCATAAATGTGAATAGCAATAGTACTTAGACTTATATACCGCTTAACAGTGCTTTACGGTCCTCTCTAAGCGGCTTACAGAATCAACATATTACCCCTAACAATCTGGGTCCTCATTTTACCGACCTTAGAAGGATGGAAGGCCAAGTCAACCTTGAGCCAGTGAGACTCAAATTTGAGAAGAATTAGCGTTCAATACTGCATTCTAACCACTACACCACCACAGCTCTTGATGTTACAATAAATGCAAGCATTTGTCTGCCAAAGGGGAAAATAGAGCAAGATGCCACTCTCTTCAGTAAATTGCTTCATTTCTAAAAAATTTAAATGGACAAAGTTCATAATAGTTGCTTTGAATAGTGAGACGGATGGCATATAAATTCAATAAATAAATAAGAAAGCGCCATGGACAGGCTGGGGAAACAAAGAGGAAAGCCTCATTCTCCAAACAAAGGTATACCTCTCCTGCAGCAAAATTTTAAAAATTTTGCAGGCAAATACGTTTCATTTCAGAATAAGACATGTCGAAGAATAAACAAATCAGGACAAAATCCAATATCTGTTCACACGACAGAATGTTCTCCCCCTTCTGTGGTCCGCGTGCCCCAATTTACCCCATAATTTTTTTCCAGCCCAGAGAACAGATGTCCATGGAGATTCTCATTCATCCAGGTTATGGTTGTCCCATAGGTGCTTTTTGAAGAGACAACTGGACTTCGTTGTTTTTCTTTGAAGACGTTTCGCTTCTCTTCCAAGAAGCTTCTTCAGACATCATCCAGTCAGAGCTGAAGAAGCTTCTTGGATGAAAAGCGAAACATCTTCAAAGAAAAACAACAAAGTCCAGTTGCCTCCTGAAAAAGCCCCAGAGAATAGATGCTAATGATACACAGGGAGGTGGGTGGAGACAGAGGAAGAGAAAATAATTTCTCTCTTCCACTGATGGAAGTACTGTAGCGCTGTCAATGAAACAATTTCCCCACTCGTATTTACTCAACAGTGTAACAAAGATCTTCAGTGAAATTGAATTTTAGATTACGAAAGAAAAATATCAATAAAAGCTCACAGAGCACTTTTGTACACTTATTGACTGAAGACCATTAACCAACGTTGAATGGCCAATTCTCTGCAAAGCTATCAGATGAGACCCAGAATAAGGTTCAAGATTTGAGATTATCTACAGGATTGCAATTTGAGCCAAATTTATAATGTGCATATAGACTGTGACAAATGAATCTGAGACTTGATAAAACACTGAAATATTGGAAGCAAATAAGATACTATAAAGACCAAGAAAAGGTATGCAACAGTCTAAAAAACAGAGCAGCTAAGTCATCAGGGGAACAGGGGAAATTCTAGAAAGTTATGATACCCTATCGCATTTTTTAACTTTTAGAAAAGAAAATGTTTTCTGAATGGGGGAAAATATTTTTTCTACAGAGAAGGAGGGAAGGAGAGAGGGAGAGAGGGAGAGAGAGAGAGAGAGAGAGAGAGTCAAATTATGTCTTCATTTCATCTTATCTGTTAACCAGATTTCTTTCTATATAATAAATAAAATGATATTACACGCCTC